TGGTCGGCCTGGAATCCAGATGAGTAGGTGTGCGCAGCTATTTTTTGTACAATGACAATTAACTCACCATTGAAACGTTGCTAGTTCTCCTGTTTGTCCGTGGTAATGAAGGACACCGTGACGTGAAGTCAATATCTTCACTAACATGTTTACCACGTTGGGGTCGGCTTTGAACTCCAGGAGAGTTGAACACATAGAACATGGAGAAGAGGGTGCGGACATTACAGTCGCAAGGACAGTAGGTGGCTGGAATGCGTCTATCCCAAAATATATAGCCTCCTGCGGCTGGGTCTCATCCCTGTGCCATCGCGTGCCTGACTAAACATAGGAATGACCACGCTATCACATTTTCCATCAGTCATCCCTGCGCCATCGCATCATTTTTTTTCGAGTCACCTCAGGCCACTCCTTGTGATCCTGACATTCCTCCATGACAGCGTCCAGTTATACCTGTATCTGCAAGCGCACATTCACGGCGCAGAACCACTTCAGCCAACACCAACATTCATGTTCTCACACCAAAAAGCGTCTTTCGTCGGCATTATCTTCTTTCAAACAGTTTATGGGCCACAGGAAAAGGCCCCGCCTCTCAAACGATGAAGCTGGGTCTGCAGTCGATGCTTCACCCAATGTCTTATTTGATTCGCATCCCAACCAGCCGCTCGTCCGTGCAGCCGACGCTTCTCCAGTCCCTCAAGGTCTCGAAGTCACGATGTCTTCTATGCGCAATCCATCAGTTGATGCAGGAGGGCCCTCCTGTGAGGGAGGGGACATAGACGGGGCGGATATGAGTTTAGCGCAACGTAGACCGAGGCGTCAAAACCGAAAGCTACCGATGAGATTTAGGGATGTCCTTCCTCAGCCCCCACCAACTGTCCCTCTGGAAATCCGTGATCAACTTCCACAATCTATTGGCTCTGTTGTCAGCGCAGAAGACCGCCCAGCCTCAGCAATGCACACGGTGTTTCGCACCCGCCCGAATCTCTTCGGGCTAGTGCGTCAATACTTTTCCTCGAGACCACCATTACACGATCCAGAAGAATGCGTTACATTAGCAGACCTCTCAACTATTCCTGGCGCCCCTCAAGTCGATGAATTACCCCCTTCACCCCCTCCATCAATCAGCGACTCTCCATACCATCCCTATCCCAATCACTCATTCTTCCAGCTGGGTGATTGGTACTGGAACCAAGGAGTCCAAAAGTCGCAACGAGATTATACCAAGCTGGTGGGAATATTGGGCTGCAGTTCTTTCGTCCCTAGTGACGTTAGCTCTACTCATTGGAGGAACATCGACATGAAGTTGGGCGCGAACGAGTATGACGAGGGAGACGGAGAAGTGTGGGAGGACGAAGACGCTGGATGGAAAAAAATGTCAGTCTCTATCCAAGTACCTTTTCCCCGTACCACCGAAGTACCAGGTCCTCGTGTCTACCAAGCTGCTGATTTGTATCATCGGTCCCTTGTGGCCGTTCTGCGGGAGAAGCTTGCCAACCCCAGAGATAGTAAGCTCTTTCATTACGAACCGTATAAATTGCGTTGGACCCCTGCCCATCTGGACGCGGAGGTCTCCATATATGGCGACCTCTACACATCTCCGGCTTTCCACGAAGCTCATAGCAAAGTGCAAAGCTTGCCTGCGGAACCCGGCTGTGATCTGCCTCGAGTAGTGGCTGGCCTCATGTTTTGGTCTGATGCCACGCAACTCACTTCCTTCGGCAATGCCAAGCTTTGGCCTACATATATGTATTTTGGTAATGAATCCAAGTATCGCCGGTGCAAGCCATCGTGTAACTTGAGCAATCACATTGCTTACTTCGAAACAGTATGTCTTACCATAATTTTGGCTTTGCAGGGTACCTAACTTCACGCTATCAGCTTCCAGATTCGTTTAAGGATTTCATAGGCGGGAAAAATAGTGATTGTGCGACGCACTGTCATCGAGAATTCTTCCACGAGCAGTGGAAGATTTTACTGGACGACGAGTTCCTGGAGGTATATGAACATGGTGTCGTGATTCACTGTTGCGACGGCGTCATGCGTAGATTCTATCCTAGAATCTTCACATACTCCGCAGACTATCCTGAAAAGTATGTATTATTCTTAAGGCAGGTTGGATTGTGCTGATTCTGGTCTGAATAGGGTACTAATAGCTACAGTACGAAACATGGGAGGTTGCCCATGCCCTCGTTGCCTTATACCCAAGGATCGCATCCATAATATGGGTCGGCCTCAGGATAGAACACAACGTGAGACTCTTGCACGCGACGATGTCGGAAGGCATTCCTTGGTGAGCGAGGCTCGCAAATTGATCTATGAAAAGGACTTGGGGGTCGGTAGCACGCGGGTGGAACAAATACTGAAACCACAGTCCTGGGTACCCACCACGGTGAGGCTGCAAGTTTCATGCTAGTAACGATGATTAACACGCCTCAGAATGCATTCTCAGATCGCCTCAGCCGTTTTGGTTTCAACATTTTTTGCGCCCTCATGGTAGATCTCTTACATGAGTTCAAAATCGGGGTTTGGAAAATGCTTTTCGTTCACCTACTACGAATCGTCGAGGCGCAAGACAAGGGACTTATCGACGAATTGGACCGGAGGTATGTTACCGGAATACACGTCACCCACTCCGCTGACCCTCCTACTGACCAGATTCAGGCAAATTCCAACGTTCGGACAAGCTACTATCCGAAAGTTTTCGGCCAACTCCTCAGAGATGAAACGGATGGCAGCTCGCAATTTCGAAGACCTACTTCAGGTAATGATTTCACCGCAATTGAAGTTAAATAAGGTCTGACACACTGCAGTGTTCTATCCCTGTTTTTGACCGTCTTCTTCCCGAACCCCACAACACGGCTGTTCTCAAGTTGCTATTCACCATGGCGCATTGGCACGGACTGGCCAAGCTTAGAATGCATTCTGATTTGACCCTTGATATCATGGACTCCGTCACTTCTGCGGTCGGTCAACAATTCCGGGAATTCAAAGCCAAAGTTTGTTCTGCGTACGACACCCGCGAACTTCGTCTGGAGGTCGAAGCTCGCGCCCGACGCCATGCGAAGCTAGCGGCAAAACAAAAGGGATCCCAGAAGGGCAAGCGAAAGCAAGGGGCAGCGGTCGAGGCAGAGAATCCTGTAAGGAATGCACAGCGAACAAAGGTATTCAACTTTCAGACCTACAAATTTCATGCATTGGGCGATTATGTGTCGACAATTCGCCGGTATGGCACGTCCGATTCCTACAGTACCGAACCGGTACGTGGTCTATCGTTCATGTCTAGACTTCGCTGACCGACTGACTGACGAACCTCCCCAGGGTGAACTCGAACACCGTTCACCCAAGGCCAGATATCGTCGCACGGATCGCAAGTCCTTCGTGAGGCAGCTCACTCGGATCGAACGCCGTCAAGCTCGCATTCGTCGTATAGGGGACAAAATTGTTCATCGCCCCCACATCGAACTTGCCGAGATAGTGACAAGCCCGTACGTCCACCATCACATTGGCCTGACGCAGAAGTACCCTATCCATATAGGCTCGTACTTACGCAGCCATGAAGGCGATCCGGCAATCAAGGTCATTTAAATGTATTTCCGCAACCGACTCGTCTCACATGCTCCTGCAGAATTTCGTGCTGAAACTCAAGGAACATTTAGTCCGTCGAATCAACACGTCAAAAAATCTGTCGGAGTCGGGAGAAGATCACACTCTCAACACACTCATTATCAAGGACAATCACATCTATCGCCACAACATCGCAAGGATTAACTACACCACATACGATGTTCGTCGTGCGCAAGATGTAATCAACCCACGAACTGAACACTGTAATATTATGGTGCTACGCCCCGACAACGATGTGGAGCACGCAAGTCACAAGTTCACCTATGGTAAGGTCCTGGGTATTTATCATGTGAATGTAATCATTATTGGAGTCGGAATGGTCGACTACACTCCACGCAGAATGGAATTCCTGTGGATCCGATGGTACGAGCCCACGGATCAGGTCTCCGACTGGGACACCTTGAGCTTAGATCGAGTCAGATTTCCGCCTATGGCGGACGAGTACTCATTCGATTTCTTGGATCCAGCGCTTGTCCTCAGAGGCTGCCACATCGTACCTGCTTTCGCCAGCCTCAGGAGATACCAAAATGGATTGGGGGTGTCAGCATGTGCAAGGGACAAGGATGATTGGCGGGAATACTATGTCAATCGGTGAGTGAGGGTCTGTTTCACATATAAGTTATATGGAGCTCATCATTTTAGATTCGTGGACCGCGATATGCTGATGCGCTTCCACTTTGGTCTTGGAGTTGGACACGTTTACTCTCACCACCCCACTTCACAGGATGTGCCTGTGCCTGGAGGCAGTGCAGAACAAGATGATGGGCAGGTCGTTGACGATTATAATGAAGACGAGGGCCAGGAAGACGATTCTTCAGATGAAGAGGAAGGTGGAGATCTCAGGACGCAAAACGTTCTACAGGGATCAGATTCCAGTAGCGAGTCGCTGATATCTCAATTTAATGAGATGTACGGTAGTGATGTAGAACTAGACTACGAGAACTGATTCGGGATATTTAGGAATGCTGTTCCACCCACGTAATGAGATCCAAGAGGCCGTTGCAGAGATAGACGGTGTTTGTAGCGCTGGGATGGCGCTGGAATTATATGACTGATCAAAAATACAGTTCAGAACGTATACGTACATATAATCTGTTGCCGTCGGCCCAATACCACTTGATATCCGGCGTATACCTTAAAGGAGCCACATACATGTAATATGCTCAAGGCGCTGTGATGGCCTGTCTCTCAAGCGAGGTATGTACATGTAATATGCACATCTGACTTTAACTTAAGTGTCCTAGGCCCTGTGACTTCTTCGATGGCGCTGCGATGGCCTGTTGCAGGTCGAAAATAATCAAAACTCAAATCAGACGTGCAAATTGCTTTAAATAATCTTTGCATAGACTTTACATTCCAGTTCCTCAGTCACAGTGATGATGTTGGTCGACTCCGTACCGAGCGTCGATGACAATGCTTGTATTTACGGTATCCATCCTCCCAGCTTGCAATATTTCGCTGTCAGTTGTCTTCTTTGTTGTAAACCCAAAATACCTTACTCACACTGGATCCTTCAGGGTACGCCCGCCGTTTGCGTGTCATTTGTGGGGTATCTGTGGATAGGCACGCAGCCCATGCTTTATCCTCTCTATGTAAGCATGCAACTTGTATCTCTTTTTATCCTGGGTATCTTATGATGAGCTTAGTGTCCGCCTGCCAGTCTGGATGATGTAAGATGTTTTATTTTACGTGTGCTACATGATATACTGACCTTCTCCTCCCAGCTCAAACTAAAACTGTCACTATTTGCTTATTTGCATGCTCCTATGAGTCATGGCACGCCATATGAGCGAGAGGGCAAGGAAGTCCCTGTATTTGTCTTAGCTGTAGGTTCAATCTCGACTGTGCCACGCCTTCCTACTGATTGGTTGTGTGTAGCTGCCTGAAATCATGCCGTTTCTCAATTTGCCATGGTTACGGGGAAAATTTTCCTCCGACAGCGCCATATACGGTGTGTACGATCATGTATGTCCACCTTACGATTGTATCGTTTCTTGTACTACAATGTCACGGTCGCAGGTTGGGGTGGCTCGCGAACACGAGCCTGAAACTCTGATTCATTTCGCGCAGTATCCTTACGGGTACTACCTCCCCAGTGATCAGTCGGTCAACGGCTCTGAATCAATTCTCCAGACTACATGGGTAGGTTCGTCAGCCATGTCATCAGTGACCGGAACCAGGTCTCTTCCCTGTACCAAGAAAGAGACAGCCAGACACAGTCTCCAAAGAATCATGACGACCTGTCCCAACTGGCGAAGGGGTCTCGCATACCTACGCATCCTCATGAGGGTTCATGTGTGTTGTGGACACTCCGACAACCCACATATTCTCGTAACTGCGGATTATGCTGACCGTAGACGCGAGTTACTCAGAGTCTGCTGGCCTCAAGCCCTCATTCGGGCAGATGTCGCGTCTGAGAATTTAGAAACAGGTCGGGTGCTTAATCCTACATACCATCACATGCTGAATCCTCTATAGTCCTCACCAAAGACACCCAGGTTCCGATGTCAGAGTCCGCAATATTGGCGCTCGTACGTGTCTTGCTTATCTTATTTTGATTTCTCTTATTCCATAATAGGCTCTTCCGTGGATGAGCCAGTTCATGTATGACAATAGAAGAGTAGCTATCTGCTCCATGGACGACAGTCGCATCTTTGGCTTAGGCAACTTCTTTGGGTTAGCTCAAAGACACTGCATTGTGGACTTGCTGCAAATGTTCATACGCCCTTACGCTCATTCATTACCACTCAGCGTAAGTTCTATGAATTCACTCTTATTATGACAGATGACCTACCTCGTCCAACAGGTCAATTCCTTTGTGAAATTTCTGGAGAACCAGATGGCGAAGGAATTAGTATATCACGTTATATTTCGAACCACGGCCACATGCCGCGTTCGTCTCACCATCGCTGATTTCGAGCCACAAATCTTCAGGAATGCTACAAATCCGCCGGTTGACACACTGGCGTTGATAGGGTCATGCGTAAGTGCCTTCTACTTTCTAGATGCTTCATTCACGTTTGTTTTCACACTAGTGTTATCAAGCGCTGCTGGCAAGACTCGTAGCCATTTGGGGCACAATTGACTTCATGCCAGACTATCCATCTGCGAGCCAAGTCCATACAGAACTTCGCGACACAGCCATCTTGCTGATCCTGCAGGTTGAGGACCCGCAGTACGTGCCCTTCATGGGCAAACTAGGAGAGTTGTGCACAATCACGTGAGTTTTTTCAGGATGGGATCTTACTATGTAATGCTGACTCGGAGATGCAGTGAGGCCGATGTGTACCGCATTGGCCGGTGAAATGGAGCGACCCATCCTTGACCCAGTAATTGTGTCCAATATTGTACAATTTGTATCTGCAACGAGCCCATGGTCTGAAATGTACTTTGTTCTCCGTCAGACTGTAGACCTTTGATAACGTGACAGTCGTGTACAATTCTTCGAAACAATCTTTAATACTTGCGGACGGAACTAGTCAACAATTACTTGTACGTGAAGTCACTGTTATTTCATTCATGACTTCTAATCTATTTTTGTATTTAGAATTTGATGGCCATCGTCTGATTTGATGGCCATCGTCTCCGTATCATGACTCCGATATCGCCATCCAGTGTTATAAGTTATGTGAGCATACTCCTTCCTCTTACTACCCTCTAACATGATGTATTTAGAGTTTGATGGCCAACGTGTCGTGACACGGACATCGCCTTCCTAGCTAGTGTTATAGGTTGTGTAAGCACTCAGCGATCGCGAGAGTATTCCTCAGCCTTCCTCTTGCTACCCTCTAACTTCGACATGTTAAATATCAGCTCCCCTTTTCTTTCTACATATGACACATCTTCAAAGACTCATTTTCTTGGAACTGAGCAGACCGAGACAGCTCTCATATCTTGGCTTCAGAAACAGGACCGCAACACTGTGAGAGTGCTCACATTTCTTGATATTGTCTTCTAACTTCATTTTCAGCTTCCAGCTTCTCTCTATATCACAGCTTCGGTGCTCTTTGGATGGGTCGATACCCACGATCTTATAGCTCTCATGGACGTGAGCCTCAGGGAGGTTGCCATGCAGACGCAACTTCAGCAAGAAGAGGAGAGGAGCTGTGCGGCATTCCGTTCTCGAGGGGGGTGTTTGATGGAGCATAGAATACATCGAGCTCAGATGGAAGTTTCGTTGTTTAGTAATGCTATTGCAAACCTGTCTGAAGAGCTAGAAATCAGATTCTCGAGTAAGCCATGTTCGTCGAGGATTATGTCCGATACTCAAAATTTACTCCTAGTTGGCTCCAACAAGCTAGGATCCACAGTGAAGGATGTCGCATACGTGGGAGCATGCGCGGCGCCCAGCTCGATAATGTTCGATCAGTTCCGACCTACAAAGGCCATTCAAGACAAATGCCATGCATGGCTTATGACGACATCGCATTTTCAAGGCATCGTAGGGCCTGATTCTCATGCAAACCGAACCTTGTTTGGTTCCCCACAAACCATAGACGATGATCCTTATATTTATGAATCCTTTCAAGGGGTGAGTGCTCTTTATACTACGAGGACCCGATGTGCTGATGTTATGCAGCTGGACGATCAATTTCTTTCCCTGCCTCGTTTATTGAGGACTTGGGTTGATAATATGACATATCGTGCATACATGAGCGCGTCCTTTGCAGAAAGCAGATCCCTACACATCGACACTAGCGACGATTTTCAACCAATGAAGTCCAAGACTACAGATATTCTCAAGTCCGACATGCATATCCTGGGCTTGAAGAAGCAGCGTGCACAGGCCGAAGTGGACATGTTTTCTGAGGCCCTAGCACGCATTGCTGAGTTCGAGGGTACCGATGATGGTAGGTATATAAGTCACATCTGTTTTCCTATACTAAGATAAATTCAGGCACACCTCCAGGGAGTGCTGTCACGCATGCGTCACTTACATCTGACGATGAATGCTTTGATGAATGCTTTTCAATCTCATACACCTCTTCTTATGGCTCTATAATCATGTAACACTACCCTTGCTTGTAATTGTACCATACCTCGGTTGTAAGTCGGACTGGATCTATGTTATTTGTGCTACCTCTATTTGATTTACTTCGTTTTTGATGACCAATTATTATTGGTTCCGTCCCTGTCTTGACAAGTAGACGTCATTGAAGCATTCAGCCTTCAGCCTTAATCGCCTCTAGGTCGTTTACCCACATCCGAGCCACTCGATGTCTCCGAGTCCTCACTCACAGACTACTAATCCATTTTGTTGGATTGTTTCAGTGAAGGTACAATTTCTATTAGTACTATAACACGACCGTTCTAACCCTTGCGTACCCACGTTGCCTACTGTTCGCAGGGTGTGAGAGCGTTGATCCTCTGAGCTCGAGCCAACGTGTCGACCAGTCTCAGTGGCCTGCAAGGTCTGACGGCACTCGTGGAACTACGATCACTCCGATAGCAACGCATAAGTTCCTAGGAGTCATCCTAGATCAAGCATTAAGATGGAAACCCCACGTAGCTCACGCCATCGCAAAAGGCACAGCTTCTGTTATGCAGCTGCGTCGCATCTCCTCCACTTCCACAGGCATACCTCTCTCACTGATGCGTCAGTTATACCTTTCAGTAGCTATGCCTAAAATGTTATACGCAGTCGATCTGTGGTTTCGCCCTCTATTCACCGGTATTGACGACAAGCAACAATCCGGATCCATAGGAGTGGCCCGTCGACTAGGTCGAGTTCAAAGAGTAGCGGCATTAAGTATTATGGGGGCAATGCGCTCTACGGCTACTGACACCCTAAAAGTACACGCGAAGCTACTACCAATGGAACATAGAATGCAGAACCTCTGCTACCAGGCCGCTGTACGTCTTGCTGCACATCCCCCGTCCCATCCGCTACGTGATCCAGTCCGCAAAGCTGCCAGGAAATATGTCAAACGTCATCGATCATCTCTCCACCATCTATATCACGCCTCCCAACTCGACATTACCTCTATCGAAACCATCACTCATAGCAGACGTCCCCCGAATGGCCGAAACTCATAATCTACTGTCATTGCCGAGTCCAGGGAACAAGATATCAAGAACCACACCACCAATAAGGACGAAATCAAGATATATTGCGATGGATCAGGTATAGATGATCATATAGGAGAGGCGGCAATCCTATACAGACAAGGACAGAGTCACCCGCGCATATTACGTTTTCATCTCGGAACCAGCAAAAAAAACACCGTCTGTGAGGTGGAATCAGTAGGCCCAACGTTAGCAGCTCAACTCCTTTCCCAAGAAGAGGACATTACATACCTGGTGTCAATCTATGTCGATAATCAAGCGTCCATTAAATTAGGTGATCGGTTCTCAACTAAACCAGGCCATTATTTGATCGACCACTTCCGTAGCGCAATCGATAACCTAGAGAAAGTTAGCTGAGACCGTAACTTCAAGGTCAACGTCCATTAGATATCAGGGCATGACGGAGTAGAAGGCATTCTCAGCAGCAAGCCGCACTGGACCCAACCTACTACTTACTTTTCTTCCGCACTCCATTCACTCCCCTCGTGCAAAGAACGCTTCGGCGATCCGAGTACATGTATATCCCATAACACACGACAGGCCCAAAATACACACGAACTGTACCAATACGGCCTACACAACTTACGATTGGTTCGAGTTTTGCCATAGATTCGCTTTCGACTATTCACATCAATACTTTGCAGGGATCTAGGCGGCGATACTCAGTCAGACTGATCAACGTTCTTTTTTAACGATATTCGCAGCCTGATCTGTTCCTGAGTCTTCACTGGCATGAGACGTGCTAGGATTGGAGGCTTGATCTGATGCTACATGCTGTTACAATGTTGTAGGATTGAGTATAAATTTTTCTTAAAAAAATATCAAGCATTCGTCAAATGGATGCAAAATATTGTGATACAGTCAAGTAGGTTATCCGACAATCGTCATTAATCAACGAGGATGGTGAGATCAAAGCTTTTCGTAAAGGGCGCATACTTGGGCTTCCCGCTAGACATAGTACTCGTCACCTTCCTCACCCTTCCTTTAGGTATCTCACCCAACGTCTCCCCACCGTCAGCATTGCCCTCCCTTGGATCGCGAACGTCAACACAAACTGATGCAAAATGCGGAGGCACGTACTGTTTGTTCACTACTACCCGCCGCCTCAGCCTGAGTGTAATCGTTTGACATCGTACTACTTCCTCCACCTCCCCCTTCGTTGGGCACCGACAACAGTCCTGACATAAATTAGTAGATATCGATGTGACACGCGTAAGTTACTCACTGCTTTTTGTTTGCCCATAGCTCAAATTATTTTTCAGTGACTGATTAGGAAGAACAGCGAAACAATGTGAATATTTCGCAAATGGCAGTCGTAAGAGATTGGAGCACTCAATACAACCGTCAAGCAGCCCCGTTGTCTCTAACACCCGCTTATGTCACGATACTGATGGGCACGCACGCATTCACCCAATTCCCAATTTGAACGCTCGCTATACTAGTAGCGACATCACTCAATTCTAACGCATCCGCACGCACGCGAACCAGCCTCCACCCAGGCGTCCAACCGAAACTCGAAGTCCTTCGCGTACTCTGAGTACGCAGACAAGAAGATCATCGTAGGAAGGGATAAGTTGGATGTCGTCGAGGGGTTTTTGCAAAAGGTGACTATTCTTTCTCACATGGTTGTATCGTTGTTGATTTGTTGGCTGTTCCTTGCACCATCATTCAAATTGTCGGTATAACACCAGCTCCGTGCGTTTGAGGAGCTCTTGCATGATTACCCAGAGTGGCAGCGCAAACTGTCATCCTTATTCAGGTGTGCTGTCATCTGACTGCAATACTCATATATTGATGAATGACTCTACATACCGTTTACAGCCGCCGTTTTCTGCATTAACAGACTCCCCAAAGCTCGAGCGTCTTGAAGTCTCGTAAACCGTCGCGCAGATCAATCACTCGGAGTTTGGACTTTGCACACGTACACCACCAGTGCGTGCATTTTTTTATCACGTCTTCACCTGTCTTATTTTATTTACTTTCGCCTTTTCCTTGCACACATCACCTCCAAGTCTGCGACAACTCCAACAGTCACCAAACCCTCAGAGAGGACGAAATCCACGCGCTGCAGATTTCGGAGTGATAATGCCCCTCAGGGACGGAATGAATACGACTTCCGAGTCGACGGAGTTCGTGGTCGCAGAAGAGCACACGATCGCTGTAAACAAGGTCTGTGCGTGTGGTTCTTATATGCATGCAGATTGACAGTTCATACAAGGGGGAAATCGTCAAGCATTTATTATACTATCATTGAAACCCTGGAGTCGCGTCCATCTTTTGCGCTGGTGACGACAACGTCTGTTCCATCTCTCCCCCTCTGATGATCTCACTCACTCACAGGTCTTTTTACAGTGTCTTTACGCCACCGGGTGTGACGGAACGATATGAGCCTGCATCGCCATTCAACTCTCTGCCACCATTTAGCTCTGCACACTGCCAATTCGCTGTATCACAACCCCCGCTATCTTGGATACCTTCGCAGCGATTCAGAGTTTCAAAATGTTGATCTTGGTAAAACTGATGACGTTCTGAACACGCTAGTTGCCAGTATGCCCCAAACCGTTGTGATGAAGGAACTGACTTCTGATAGTTTTGTATCTATTTTTGGAAGCGTGCGTAGTAAAGTTACGCTTTCACAACAGGTATGGTCTTTTTTTACTGTGAAGATTGCTCTAAACTTCTCGAAGGAGCAACCTATTCAAGTTTAAATTTGCAACCTCTGATTGTCACCTTTGCAAGGGCAAATTATCGTGTGCTTCGCAAATCCTCTGCGGTCAGCACCCACCATTCCCTCGCCTTCCACCTATCATTGCCATCCTGATGACGGTCACGTTCATTGTCGCACAGTAGCTACCAGCGCGAACTAGCAAGTGCATACTATGCCCTCTATTGGGACAACATTGAAGGAGGTCAGTACTTACATTTGATCTGAGGACACACTACTGACGCAGTGTTCTAGGAATACAAGAAAAAGATTGCGGTGCAGGTGAGTATGATGATTCGTGCCTGCTCTAGTACTCGGTGAAATTGCCGAGAAGACCATGGCAAGTCATCTACTAATGTACATGAAATTCATAGGGGTGGCATCATATGGTTTTTACCGGACGAATCAGACTTTAGATTTGGTATTGATGGATTTTACGTCAGATTTGGTATGTTTACGTGCCGCAATCTGATACAATACCGATAATGCCCGTGTGCGCGAGTCCTAAGTCTATTATGAGAACACTGATCAATAACGATTCTGTACTAGGAAGGAACAAGATAGATAATTAATGACTTTTAGTATGTGGAATTATCTTTCGTTGTGCCACATGAACAACTTTCCGTACAAGCTGGCTATTATTGACCAGTTAACAGGTATCTATGATCACCATTGCTTCTATGGTACTACTCGATCGAGTCGAGATGTGAATTCCTCGTTTCTGCACAGGGGAGAATTTCACATTGAAACATTGCTGGGACTGAAGTTGAACAACGCTGAATTACATAATGAACGAAGTCGTGAAATGGCAGCAGATTTGGCGGGAGCAATTTTTCAATACATGTGACGCAACACGTCTTTTGCTTCTTCCTTGTGTTATCAGGTCAAAATTTAGTAGCGTGGCTCTTGGCATGTGTGGGAAGGAAAAGGATGCAGAGCATGAACTGAGTGAGTCTTTGATTGCTCGACCATAGAATTTTAACTCTGACCTGAGACCAGCCTCTGACCCCAGTTTCGTTGCATTCTTTTCCAAACTCCCAAAGAAATCTCCTGAAACTGGAACGATCCGTCTATTTGATCGCACAGACTACTACTCTGTCCACGGGCAGGATGCTCACTATGTCGCAACACACGTCTTTCGTACCAACTCCGTCCTCAAGTGTCTAGGTGCTGGAGGCAAGGCTGGTGGTCTTCCGAGTGTCACGCTCACTGCAGGCCAGCCATACCCTGGCTCGCCCATTTTTGCGAGATACCCTTACATCTAAACAGCTATGCGTAGAAATATTGGTGCCCGCACCTGGGCAGGGAAGGAAAGCTTCCAAATTCATTTTGGAAACATCGGAGGTGAGTAAGTAATGTCTTGTCTTTATAGCCATAATTAACCATTCGAAAGGCATCACCTGGAAATCTCCAAGCTGTTGAAGACCTTCTCTTTGTCAGCTCCGATGTTACATCGGCACCTATCGTTTTAGCTGTCAAAGTATCATCATCTTCAGTCACGAACAAAGCCAAGACCAAGTCAATCGGCATTGTCTTCGCGGATACCAGTGTGAGGGAGTTCGGAGTTGCTGACTGCATTGACAACGATCTTTTCTCGAACCTTGAGGTGGGTGTACTTAGTTGCAGACCGTCATCGCTATCTCCTCACACTGGTTGAATAGTCTCTTGTTCATACGACTTTCAGTCAAAGAAGCCATTATTCCCACTGGAACAACAGACCGCGACCTCGACTTGAGCAAGCTAAAAGCCGTGTTCGAGAGGTGTGTTGTGGTTGTGACTGAACGTAAACCAAGTAAGTCAACATTCATGCAGTTTCTTAAGTCCATCTAATTCCAGGTCCTACTAGTAGGCGAGTTTACTCCAAAACATGTCCAAGACGACGTTAAAAATCAACGATCGACTCAGAAACGGATTCAGACTCTGCTGCTTCGATTCGTGGGTTTTGATATCTTAACTGCTCAAGCAACACTCACAATATCATCTAGCTGAGCTCTCCCTTCCTTCAGCCCTGTCTGCACCTTCTGCCTCGATCAGCTATCTTTCTCTCCTTTCTGATCCTTCCAATCACGGGGCATACAAGTTACGGACACACGATCTAGCACGATGTATGCGCTTGGATGCTAGTGCATTGCGTGCACTGAATCTGATTGACGCCCCTGGGAGTGCTGTAAGTCATTCAAGATGCAGTTCATACTGATATCTTCCCTGCTAACGGTCGCCCTGTAGGGAAGTATCAATAAACATGCAACCCTCCTTGGTCTGCTAAATAAATGCAAGACTGCTCAATGAACTAGGCTTCTCGGGACATGGCTTAAGCAACCCTTGGTAAATCTGCACGAAACACGTATGCCCGTTTCTTACTCCACTTGACGTAACAAAACTTTAGCCTTGCAAGTAAACGGCAAGACCTTGTGGAGACATTTGTGGATGATGGATCTTCTCGGAGAAAACTGCAGGTTAGTACAATACCCTTTGTCAAGGGCGTCATTTATTTTCATTCCGCAGGATGACTACTTGAAGCTAATGCCTGACCTCCACCGACTAAGCAAACGATTCAAGAAATCTATCGCATCTCTTGAGGATGTTGTGAGCGTATATCAAGTGATCCTCAAGGTACTTTGCTTCAATTCCTGGCCCTCAGTGTTATTTACTTTACCCAACTAGCTGCCTGGTTTTCTCGAGACTCTCGAAGGTGTCCAGTACAAACACAAGGAGCACAAGGAGCTTATCGATGAAATTTATATCAAGCCTTTCCAGGTGCGCATGTCATAGTTTCGTCGAATTACATCATCACCGCTCCCTCTAACACCTGCTATTACCAGGCTGTCAACGAGAATCTCGTCAAATATGGTGAAATGGTAGAGTCAACGCTAGATCTTGAAGAACTCGAAAATCATAATTACGCGATCAAGCCTGACTATGACGAGCGTCTGTAAGTTCTGGCAGATAAACTTGTGGAGGTTCATATTATGTCTATCAGAATGATGGCGAACAGGGCTGACGTTTTCTCAGATCTGGGATGGTCTTGATGCTGAACATCGTGCGACCGGCAAGATACTGCTTCAGGTTGACTGAAGAATGTAAGCTTCCCGTACTGTGAGATTGCCATGAGCCCACATACCTATCAGGATGCGAAAGCCATCATGCGGAACAACAAATATATTGAACTCGGGACTGTCAAGAGCGGAGTCTACTTTACGACCAAGAAGCTAAAAGCACTTTCCATGGACCATCAAGAGGCTACGCATGAATATCAGCGAATGCAGAGCGGGTTAGTGAAGGAAGTTGTGAGCATTGTATGTAAGATACTCCTTTCATTACTACTTTCGCATTCACATATGCCTTTTCCTTCGCACAGCAACATCATGATATACATCTGTACTAGAGAATCTCGACCACATCATTGCACACCTAGACGTTATCATCAGGTGAGCCCTGTGACTGGAGCTTGCACATGTGGTAACGATCATCTAGTTTCGCTCATGTTTCTGTAAATGCTCCTGAGCCATACGTGAAACTGAAAGTCTTGGAGAAAGGCAGTTTTGGAGATGATGTTTGACGCAGGAATTGATCAACGCACAT